GGGTACAGTGGGATTTTTTTTTACTTGTGTACTTTGAGGAATGATGAAGTCAGGGTGTTTTGCATATCTATTCCCATGTCTAGTTTTTATTTGTCTGTGATGTGAACCTCATTGTTCCTTCTCCTTTCTAGCTCTGTTGAAAGAGATCCTACCATATTGTTACTTGTAGTCTCCCGCTGTGGAGTAAGATCACCAACGCATTAATTCCTCCCCTGGAAATGCAACTTGGTACCATTACCAATGCCAGCCATGCTGCCATCTCCTCCCCCCAGCATCTGATAACCACTATTTATACTTTCACTTTCCATTAGATAATTCTTTTTTAGTCTCATCATGGGTGAGATGATGCAGGTGTTTGTCCTTTCCTGCCTGGCTGATTCCATTGATATAATGTCTTCCAGGTTAATCCGTGTTGCCGCAATGGATGTTCTGTCATCGATGTGGTTTGATGGGGCGTATTTCGGTGTGTGTCTGTATGCTGAAGTTCTTCATCTCTTCCATCAGTGCTGATGGGACAGAGATAGGTTGATTGCATGACCTTGGCTATTGTGTATAGCTGACTTCAAACTCAAACCTAGAAAGGCAGCTGCGGCTTTCCATTGCAGTGATTTCACTGTCCCTAAGTGTATACCCACCTGCTGGAATTGCCAGATGAAATGGGTAGTTTTCCTTTTTGATTGTTTGGGAAGACTCCAAGAGGTTTTCATAGTGCCTGTATATTTCTCCCCCCAACAGTGTATTGAGAGGTGTAATGCACTTCCTCTGGGGGAATTTTGTTTGAAATAATTGATTTCCTTTTATTGTTCAAATTAGGGATGGCTCTCTAATCTGAGCGTGCTTTTCATTTACGGTTTAGAGATGACTGATAATGTCGAGAACCACCTTTTTACATGTTAGTGCATTGCACACTGTCTTTTTAGTAATGTCTCTTCAGGTTTGTGTCCCAGTTTAGGCTGGGTTACTTGGTTTTTAGTGTTTTCTCCTCAATGGTGTCTTAGTTTCAGATACATGATTCCTTATAATGTCCTTTCTATCTGAAGAATGCCTTCTGAGTGTTGGTAGGTGCATTGATTTCTTTACTGTGCAGTAGTTTTTCGGTTTTTGTTTGTTTGTTTGTTTGTTTTAACTGATTGTTATTTTAGTTTGCAGTGATGATTCTTTTTTCTTTTTTTTTTTTTTTTTTTGAGATGGAGTCTCTCTCTCTGTCACCTAGGCTGGAGTGCGGCTGCCATCTTGGCCCATTGGAAGCTCTGCCTCCCGGTTTCACGCCCTTCTCCTGTGTCACACGCCTATGTAGCTGGGACTACAGGTGCCTGCCACCACACCTGGCTAATTTTTTTGTATTTTTAAGTAGAGACGGGATTTCTTTTTTTTTTTCTAATATTCTTTTTTTTTTTTAATTATACTTTAAGTTCTAGAGTACATGTGCACAACGTGTAGCTTTGTTACATATGTATACATGTGCCATGTTGGTGTGCTGCACCCATCAACTTGTCAGCACCCATCAACTCGTCATTTACATCAGGTATAACTCCCAGTGCCATCCCTCCCCCTTCCCCCCTCCCCATAATAGACCCCGGTGTTTGATGTTCCCCTTCCTGTGTCCAGGTGATCTCATTGTTCAGTTCCCACCTATGAGTGAGAACATGCAATGTTTGGTTTTCTGTTCTTGCAATAGTTTCCAGCTGCATCCATGTCCATACAAAGGGCACGAACTCATCTTTTTTTATGGCTGCATAATATTCCATGGTGTATATGTGCCACATTTTCTTAATCCAATCTGTCACTACTGGACATTTGGGTTGATTCCAAGTCTTTGCTATTGTGAATAGTGCCGCAATAAACATACGTGTGCATGTGTCTTTATAGCAGCATGATTTATAATCCTTTGGTTATATACCCAGTAATGGGATGGCTGGGTCATATGGTATTTCTAGGTCTAGATCCTTGAGGAATTGCCATTCTGTTTTCCACAATGGTTGAACTAGTTTACAATCCCACTAACAGTGTAAAAGTGTTCCTATTTCTCCACATCCTGTCTAGCACCTGTTGTTTCCTGACTTTTAATGATTGCCATTCTAACTGGTGTGAGATGGTATCTCATTGTGGTTTTGATTTGCATTTCTCTGATGGCCAGTGATGATGAGCATTTTTTCATGTGTCTGTTGGCTGTATGAATGTCTTCTTTTGAGAAATGTCTGTTCATATCCTTTGCCCACTTTTTGATGGGTTGTTTGTTTTTTTCTTGTAAATTTGTCTGAGTTCTTTGTAGGTTCTGGATATTAGCCCTTTGTCAGATGAGTAGATTACAAAAATTTTCTCCCATTTTTGGTTGCCTGTTCACTTTGATGGTAGTTTTCTTATGCTGTGCAGAAGCTCTTTAGTTTAATTAGATCCGATTTGTCAATTTTGGCTTTTGTTGTCATTGCTTTTGGTGTTTTAGACATGAAGTCCTTGCCCATGCCTATGTCCTGAATGGTATTATCTAGGTTTTCTTGTAGAGTTTTTATGGTATTAGGTCTAACATTTAAGTCTCTAATCCATCTTGAATTAATTTTCATATAAGGAGTAAGGAAAGAATCCAGTTTCAGCTTTCTACTTATGGCTAGCCAATTTTCCCAGCACCATTTATTAAATAGGGAATCCTTTCCCCATTTCTTGTTTTTCTCAGGTTTGTCAAAGATCACGTGGCTGCAGATGTGTGGTATTTTTTCTGAGACTCTGTTCTGTTCCATTGGTCTATATCTCTGTTTTGGTACCAGTACTATGCTGTTTTGGTTACTGTAGCCTTGTAGTATAGTTTGAAGTCAGGTAGCGTGATGCCTCCAGCTTTGTTCTTTTGGCTTAGGATTGTCTTGGCAATGCAGGGTCTTTTTTGGTTCCATATGAACTTTAAAGCAGTTTTTTCCAATTCTGTGAAGAAAGTCATTGGTAGCTTAATGGGGATGGCATTGAATCTATAAATTACCTTGGGCAGTATGGCCATTTTCACAATATTGATTCTTCCTATCCATGAGCATGGTATGTTCTTCCATTTGTTTGTGTCCTCTTTTATTTCACTGAGGAGTGGTTTGTAGTTCTCCTTGAAGAGGTCCTTTACATCCCTTATAAGTTGGATTCCTAGGTATTTTATTCTCTTTGAAGCAATTGTGAATGGAAGTTCATTCATGATCTGGCTCTCTGTCTGTTACTGGTGTATAAGAATGCTTTTGATTTTTGTACATTGATTTTGTATCCTGAGACTTTGCTGAAGTTGCTTATCAGCTTAAGGAAATTTTGGGCTGAGATGATGGGGTTTTCTAAATATACATTCATGTCATCTGCAAACAGGGACAATTTGACTTCTTCTTTTCCTAACTGAATACCCTTGATTTCTTTCTCTTGCCTGATTGCCCTAGCCAGAACTTCCAACACTATGTTGAATAGGAGTGGTGACAGAGGGCATCCCTGTCTTGTGCCAGTTTTCAAAGGGAATGCTTCCAGTTTTTGCCCATTCAGTATGATATTGGCTGTGAGTTTGTCATAAATAGCTTTTTTTATTTTGAGATACGTTCCATCAATACCGAATTTATTGAGAGTTTTTAGCATGAAAAGGCTGTTGAATTTTGTCAAAGGCCTTTTCTGCATCTATTGAGATAATCATGTGGTTTTTAACTTTGGTTCTGTTTATATGCTGGATTACATTTTATTGATTTGGCGTATGTTGAACCAGCCTTGCATCCCAGGGATGAAGCCCACTTGATCATGGTGGATAAGCTTTTTGATGTGCTACTGGATTCGGTTTGCCAGTATTTTATTGAGGATTTTTGCATCGATGTTCATCAGGGATATTGGTCTCAAATTGTCTTTTTTTGTTGTGTCTCTGCCAGGTTTTGGTATCAGGATGATGTTGGTCTCATAAAATGAGTTTAGGGAGGATTCCCCTTCTTTTTCTGTTGATTGGAATAGTTTCAGAAGGAATGGTGCCAGCTCCTCTTTGTACCTCTGGTAGAATTCGGCTGTGAATCCGTAGAGACGGGGTTTCACCGTGTTGCCAGGATGTTGTTGATCTCCTGGCCTTGTGATCCACCCGCCTCTTGGCCTCAGGTGTGAGCCACTGTGCCCAGTCACACAGTGATTGTTCTTGTAGGATACAGTCAATAATAAAAACCAAATTTTTGAGTTCTATTATTGGAAGTGTTTTTCCTTTTGTTGTTTTCGAACTATTTTAATTCGATTCAGGTTTTTCAAAACTTAAGCTCACTCTGTTTTCCTGTAGGCGTTTTATGTTTTTGAGTCATGTGTTTAGGTTTTAATTTGTGAGCCACAGCACCCAGCCTCGTTGCATCTTGTAGGCGTTCTTTTTGAGAAAAAAATGTGTTGACTGCATACAGGGTGTGTGTTTAGTACTGTTATGTCCAGAGGTGCATGGTTTCTTTTTATGCCACTGCCGTAGTCTTTGGTAAGTAGAGCTTTTACCTGTAATTTGAAGATGAGGTGATGCCTCCAATCTAGTTTGTATTTCCTAGGTAGGACTTCTTTCCATATTCAGGGTCTTTGGTGGTTCCATGTGAATTTTTAGCTGTGTATGTTAACATTTTATAAAAAGTTGGTTCATACCACATGTCCAGAATTAGAGTGAAGTGAGACATTGTGATAATTGTATACCTTGCATAAGGTAGAATCAAGGAGTTCTTGTGCCTGTGATCAGGTATAGGTCTTATATCTTGAGGTGTGGACATCAGTATCCTCCTTGGTAGCTGTTTTGACAAAGACACGACCATATTGTTACACACAGTCACCCTGCTGTGGAGTAGAATACTAGAATGTATTCCTCTCCTTTTAACTCTCTGCATACCTATTGCCAGTCCTTGCCCATGTCTCTCTCCTCTACCCAGCCTGTGGTGACCACTTACTGTATTTTCACCTTCAGTGAGTTAAATTTTTCAGCCCCACATAATTGAGAACATGCAGGGTTGATTTTTCTCTTATTTCTGCTTTTCTGATTTGATTGAACATAGTATCTTGCAGGTGCAGCCGTGTTGTGGGAAATGAAAAATGCCCTGAATTTTGATGGCTGAAAAGTATTCCATTGTGCCTGTGTCCTGGAAATTCTTTATCCCTTCATCTGTGGATGGACAGGTAGGTTGATTCCATCCTTTGGCTATTGTCAGTAGCATGTCAAGAAAGAGGAGAAGGAAGCTTTGTCTCCAGCATACAAATTTCATTTGCTTTCCATGGATGGCTGTAGATGGGATGATGACATTATATGTTAGGCGTATGGTTAATTTGTTCAGGGACCTTCTACTATTTTTCCTAGAGCACATCCTGATTAAAGTTCCACCCAGCAGTGTGTAAGATTATCACTTTCTTTGTCTTTTCACCAGCTTTTGCCTTATTTCAAACACAATCTTTCTTTTTGGCAATATTCATATCAGTTAGATTGAGATGGTGCCAGGGTGTAGTTTTCATTTACATGTTTGAGATGAGTTGATCTCAAACAGTGATACTGAGAAACCCATTATTTTACCTGTGTTTGTGTTTGTGTTTTTGTTTTTTGGAGACGGAGTTTCTCTCTTGTTGCCCAGGCTGGACAGTGCAGTGGCGCCATCTCAGCTCACTGCAACCTTCATCTCCTGTGTTTAAGGGATTCTCCCTCCTTAGCTCCCCGAGTAGCTGGGAGTATAGGTGTGTTCCCCCATACCTGGGTAATTTTTGTATTTTTAGTAGAGACAGGGTTTCACCATTTTGGCCACGCTGATCTCAAACCCCTGACCTCAGGTGATCTGCCCTTGGCTATTGTGAGTAGTGCTTCACTCCACCTGGGAAGGCAGCTATGATTTCCATGTAGAGATTTCTCTGTCCATAAGTAGATACGCATTGTTGGAATTGCTAGATGAAGTGGTAGCTAGCTTTGTGATTGTTTGGGAAGTTCCAAGTGGTTTTCGTAGTACCTATGGTAATGGTGATTTCTCTCAACAGTGTGGAAGAGTATCTGTGTATGCAGGTTTCCCTGGGGCATTCGTTTGAAATAACTGGTTTTTATTTTTTGTTAGAATTAGAGTGAGTTTGTATCTGAGTGTGATTATCATTTACAGTTTAGAGATGACTAGCAGTGGTGAGAACCACCTTTTTTTCCTGTTAGTGAATTGCATATTGCCTTTTCAGTAATGTCTGTTCAGGTTTGTTGCCCAGTTATGGCTGGGTTACTTGGTTTTGGGTGTTTTGCTCCTCAGTGGGGTGTTCGTTCCTCCAAGATGTCAGATAACAACCGCTTTTAGATACATGATTCCTCGTAATATCCTTTCTGTCTGAAGAATGCCTTCTGAGTGTTGGTTAGTGCATTGTTTTCTTTACTATGCAGAACTTCTTCAGGCTGTTTTGTGTTTTTATTTCTTGATTGTTTTAGTTGTGATTTTTTTGTTTTACCTTTTTTTTTTTTTTTTTTTTTTTTTTAAGACAGGGTCTCACTCTGTTGCCCAGGCTGGAGTAGAGTGTCACAATCTTGGCTCACTGCAACCTCCACCTCCCAGGTTCGAGCGATTCTGTTGTCTCAGCCTCCCGAGTAGCTGGGACTGCAGGTGTGTGCCACTACTCCCAGCTAATTTTTGTATTTTGATAGGGACAGGATTTACCATGTTGGCTAGGCAGGTCTCAAACTCCTGATCTCAAGCAATCTGTGCACCTCGGCCTCCCAAAGTCCTGGGTTTACAGGCGTGAGCCACTGTGCCTGGCTAGCAGTGACTGTTTTTGTAAGATAAGGTCAATAACAAAAACTAGAGTTTTTGACCTCTGTTGTTCAAAGTGGGTTTTTTTCTGGTTTTCTTTTTTTCTATTGTTTGCTTTTACATCCTGTGAGCTTAGATTCAGGTTTTCCTAAACTTAAGCTCACTCTGTGTTTTCCTGTAGCAGTTTTACGCTGTTAGGTCTTGTGTTTAGGGTTTAATGTATGTTGAGTTTATGTTTGTGTATTGTATAACATCAAAGTCTTATTTCATTGTTTTGTATGTGGCTATCCAGTCGTTTCAGACTGCTCAACTGAACAGACTGCTGACTCCTCATCTCATCTTTTTTATCTTTGAGACGCAGTCCTACTCATGCTGTCACCCAGACGAGAGTGCAGTGGCGAGATCTCAGCTCTCTGCAACATCTGCCTCCTTGCTTCAAGAGATTCTCGTGCTTCATCTTCCCAGGTGGCTGGGATTGCTGGTGTGCACCAGCACACATGACTAGTATTTTTTGTATTTTTACTGGAGATGGAATTTCACCATTTTTGCCAAGCTGGTCTGAAACTCCTGACCTCAAGTCATCTGCCTGACTCAGTCTCCGAAAACGCTGGGAGTACAGGTGTGAGCCTCAGCACCCAGCCTCATTGCATCTTCTAGGCGTTCCTTTGAAAAAAAATGTGTTGACTGCATACAGGTGTGCGTTTAGGTTCTCTTATGTCCCTAGTTTCATGGATTCATTTTTATACCACTACTATAGTCTTTGGATGAGTGGAGGTTTTACATGTATTTTGAAATTGGGGAGTGTGCAGCCTCCAATTCAGTTTGTATTCCCTAGGATTTGCATATTCAGGTTCTTTGGGTCTTTGGTGGTTCCATGGGAATTTCTAGCCGTATATCATTAATATTTCATAAAACATTTGTTTCATACTTTATGTCCAGAATTAGGGGTGCATTGGGACATTGTGATACTTGTTTGTATACCTTGAGTATGGAGAAAATCAGGGAGTTTCCCATGCTTGTGACCATGTATAGGTTTGATATCTTCGATGTGTGAACATTCAGTATCCTCCTTGGTAGCTCTTTTGAAAACGGCACGACCATGTTGTTAAGTATCGTCGCCCTGCTTTGGACTGGAATACCAGAATGTATTCCTCTCCTGTAACTCTCTGTGTACCTATTGCCAATCCTTGATGTCCTCTCCTCCACCTAGCCTGCGGTGACCATTACTGTATTTTCACCTCAGTGAGTTACATTTTTCAGCTCCCACATAAGTGAGAACATGCAGGCATGGTCTTTGTCTGCGTTTCTGATTTGATTGAACAGAATATCTCCAGGTGCAGCCATGTTGCTGGAAATGATAGGATTCCGTGAAGTTTGATGGCCCAGAAGTATTCCATTGTGTCTGTGCACTAGAGATTCTTCATCCTTTCATCTGTGAATGGACAGGGAGGCTGATTTCTTACCTTGGCTTTTGTGCCTAGGGCTGAATTCCACCTGGGATGACAGATCATCTCTTCCATGTCCTGATCATGTGCTGTGCTTGTATACCTAGTAATAGAATTACTAGATAAGATGGTAGTTATAGTTTTAGGATTTCAAGGAACATACAAGTGGTTTCTTTAGTGTGCATGCTAGTTCACCATTTTCCATTTTCCACCAGGTGTGGAGACAAGTGCCTCCTCTGAAGATCTGTGATTTTTTTTTTATCTTTTAATATTTTTCAATTTTTTTCTTGTAGCATCCATTGCATGTAGAGTGAGATGGAATCTGAGTGTGTGCTTGATTTTTGTGTGTGTATAAATGGTACTTGCTAAGTTATTGTGAATTTGTTTTTAATTTGTTGTGTAGGACTGGGCAGAGGACCTGAAGACATGCGATTTATGCACAGGTCAAAGAGAAGATTCCCACCATTGCTGATGCACACAAAAGCATAAGTGAAAATCACACTCAGATTTCATCTCACTCTGGTTAGAATGAATACTACCAACATTTGATGGCAGTTTGTTTCTATAGAGTATAGATTATACCCCCACACACACACAACCCAAGGTGCAAGGGACATTTTGAGATATCTATGTATAGAATCATGATGAAATCATCGTATCTGGCATGTCTGTGATCTTCCATCATCATTTTTTCTCTGTGGAGAGAATATTCAGAACCGTATTTTCCTGCTGATTTTGAAAAATTTTTCTAGATTCTGTTGACCCTAGTCACCCTGCTGTGCAATAGAACACCAGAATGGATTCCTCGTCTCTGAGCGTCACTCTGTACCCGTTACCAATCCCTGCCCAGGCTCCCTGCTCTCCCCAGCCTCTAGTAGCCCCTGTTGAAAGTTCTCTTTCTAGGAGACAGTGTTTTTTGGATTCCATATGCCTGATGTCATGCAGCATGGGTCTCTCCCTAACAGACTCGTTTCATTTCACCTAATTGTCTTCCAGGTTTCTCCAAGTGGTTGCAGATGACATGATTTCCTGAAGTGTTACAGCTGATGTGTGTTTCCTTGTGTATATATACTGTGGTTCCTTTATCCCTTCATCTGTGGATAGACAGGTAGGTTGATTCCACATCTTGGCTGTTGTGACTAGTGCTTCAGGACACATGAAAAGGCAGATAACACAGGGATTTCATTTTCTCTAAACATGTACCCAGTGGTGGGATTGTAAGCTGGAGTGGCAGTTGTACTTTTACCTTTAGTTTTTTTGTTTTTGTTTTTTAAAGGTGGAGTCTTGCTCTTGTCGCCCAGGCTGGAGTGCAGTGGCGTGATTTCGGCTCAATGCAACCTCCGCTTCCTGCGTTCAAGCAATTCTCCCACCTCAGCCTCCCAACTGGCTGGAAATTCAGGCATCTGCCACCATGCCTAGCTAATTTTTGTATTTTTAGTAGAGATGGGATTTCACCATGTTGGTGAGGCTGGTCTGGAAGTCCTGACCTCAGGTGATCCACCTGTCTCAGCCTCCGAAAGTGCCGAGATTACAGGTGTGAGCCATCGTGCCTGGCCTACCTTTTACTTTTTTAAGGAACTTCCAAAAGTTTTTGTAGTGTGTACAGTAATTTTCATTCACAAAGAGTGTAGAAGATTATTTTTTTCTGTAAGTCTACACTGACCATTGCCTTCAACAATTTTGATTTTTGTCTTTTGTGATACTCATTCTAGGTGAAATTAGATGGTTTTGATTTCAGTTATGGTTTTGATTCATGTTTTTGTGAGGATTAGTGATATTGAGGAACTGTCACCTATGAGTCAGTTTTCTGACTTCTTTTCACTCAGGTCTACTTAGATCCTTTTACCTTGGATATTTGTTGTTTTTATTGTTGTTGTTGTTTTTCACTGAGTCATATCAGTTTATTGTATGTGTTAGATAACAACCTCTTTCAGGGTTAGGATTTTTTATCGTTTCTCCCAGTCTTTAGGATTCCTCTTTTTTGTTTGTTTCCTTTTCCCTGTAGACTTTTTAAAGTGTCCCTAGTCTCATATGGTTATAGTTGCATATGTTAACAGTGATTTTTGTGTTCAACACCCCACTTCCACGAAACAGAAAAACGTATGTGCACACGCACACACACACACACACACACACGGAGCCAAGCCTTGCATTGTCTATGGGTGTAGTTTCCCTACTTTGTTTTTAGTGTTGTGATGCTTTTTTACCTTTTGCAGCCTGTTTGCATAGATACAGTGTTTCCTAAAATATACACCCACTCTATGTTTTCTTAGAGGACCTTTACAGTTTCAAGATTGAGTTTAGGTCTTTAATTTATTTTGTGTTGATTTTGTGTATCGTGCATTATAAGGGTCCTATTTCAGTATTTTGCCTGTGGATATTCAGTTTTCTCAAAATCAATAGTTGAACCATACTCTCCCTTTCTCATTGTATCTTTTTGGGGTTTTGAAAAATGTGTTCCCTACATAACATGTTGGATAGAGTATTTGGCTGCCACATTGTGTCTCTTAGGTCCTCATTCTGTGTTTATGACAGTCATGGATTGTTTGGATATCTACAGATTGTTTTTTCATTTATTATTTTCTTCGGTTCTCACCTTGGATTTTTCTTTCAGTGCATTCTTTATTATTATAGCTTAAAAGGTACATATGCAAGTTAGTTACATCTGTTGATTGCATGACACTGAGACTTGGGGTCCCAACAACCCCGTAACCCAGGCAGTGAGCAGAGGGCCCACAGGGTGGGTCTTCAGCACACGTTCCCTCTCCCCTGTTTTTCTTATTGGTCTGGTGGTCATTCCAGGTGTCTGGTGTTCTCTTCTTTATGTTTGAGTCCATTCAAAGTTTAACTCCTGCTTATAAGTGAGAACATGTAGCGTTTGGTTTTCTATTTGGGCCTTAGTTCACTTACGACAGTGGCCTGCAGTTTCCGTCTTCTGTTCTCAGGTGATCCTCCCACCTCAGCCTCTGGATTAGATAGGACTACAGGTGCCTGCCCCCACATCAGCTAATTTTTTTATTATTGTAGAGATGGGATTTCACCATTTTGCCCAGGCTGGTCTCAAATTCTGAACTGAAGCGATCCACCTGCCTCAGCCTCCCAAAGTGCTAGAATTACAGGTGTGAGCCACTGTGCCGCCCTCTCATCCACTGTTGATGGCTAGGTTGATTCCATGTCTTTGACATTGTGAATAATACTGTCATGAACATTCAAGTGCCTGTATCTTTTGGATTGAAGGATTGATATTCCTTTGGGTAGATGCACAGGAGTGGGCTTACTGGGTGAGATGGTAGTTCTGTTTGCAGCTCTTTGAGAAATCCCCGATCAGCTTTCAACGGTGTCTGTACTAGTTTTCATCCCCCTCGAAAGCATACCAGTGTTTCCTTTCCTCAACTGCCTCGCCAGCATGTGTTCCTTGTCTGTGTGGTCCTCACCATTGTGACCTGCGTGGGATGGCACCTCGTCATGTTTTTGATTGGCAGCTCTCCGATAATGAGTGAGTTTGAGCATGTTTTCCTATTTGTTGGTTGCTTCTACATTGACTTTTGAGAAGTGCGTGTTCATGCCTCTTGCCCATTTATTAGTGGGATATTCCCTTGTTGACTTGTTGAAGGGCCTTGTAGATTCTGCATATTAGAATTGGTCAGATGCACAGTTTGGGACCATGTTCTCCCATTTTGTAGGCTGTCTGTTTACTCTGTTGGTGGTTTCTTTTGCTGTGCAGCAGCTCCTTCAGATATTTGGTCTGACTTGTCAATTTCTGTTTTTATTGCCATTACTCTTCAGGACTTAGCCATCTAAATGATTTGCCAAAGCCTATGTGGGTAAGGATATTTCACAAGTTTTCTCATAAGATTTTAATACTTTGAGTTTTTCCGTTGGAATCTTTCATTCATGTAGAGTTCCTTTTTGTGTCTGGTGAGAGGTAGGGGCCTAGTGTTATTCTTTTGCACATGGCTAGCCACTTATTTCAGCAACCTTGATTGAATAGGGTGTCCTTTTCCCTTTGCTTACTTTGATGGGTTCTATGTTAGATAGTTTTCAGTGTGTGATTTTACTTCTTGGTCCTCTCTTGTGTTACTCTGCTCTATGTGGAAGCAGGTCCCTAGCTTTTCCATGAAATTTGAAATTAGGAAGTGTGATATGTCCAGTGTAGTCTAGATGTCTCAGGATTGCTGAGGATGAAACTCAGGGCACTTCATGGTCCCACATGAATATTAGCATCACCTATTTCTATTTCTTGCAACAGATGTGTTGCATAGTAAACGAACAATACAATGAGAGGGTAGAGTGGGGCAGTATGGTCCATGCATACATTGTGGAATGATGAAATCAGGGTACTTAGTGTTTCTGTTACATTTTCCCATTGTTTATTCCTTTATGGTGAGAACCTTCAGTATTCTCCTGTCAAGCTGCGTTGAAAGTGATGTGCTGATACTGTTAACCCTGGTCACCCTGCACTGGAATAAAACAACAGAATTTTCTTCCTCTCATTTTCCCATTTGCAATCCCTGCCCATTACTCCTCTTTTCCCCCAATCTCTGCAAACCAATATTGTGCTCGCCAGGTCTTTGAGATAGTTTCTCAGATTCTGCATGTGTGAGATGACTCAAGGTTTGTTTCTCTCCCCCTCACTCATTTAATTTACCATCATGTCCTCCAGGTGCAACCGTGTGGTTCCCCACAATAGGATTTCATTGTGGTTTTCTGTGTGAAGAGTATCCCGGTATGTACATGTGGAGCAGCTTCTTTCTCCCTTCGTCTGTGGACAAGCAGGTAGGTTGATGCTTACACTGGCTCTTGGGAACAGTGCTGGAATCCACATGGGTGGGTAGATCGATCTTTGGTGTCCTGATTTCAATGGCTTTGAGTGTATTTCCAGTAGTAGAATTGCTGGTTGAAACGGTAGTTGGAGTCTTTTAAGGTTTAGAGGAACCTCCAAGTGGTTTCTGTATCGTGTGTGCTAGTTTAACCTTCTCACGAACTGTGGAGAAGAGTGTCTCTCTCTCTGAAAACACACCAATGTTTCCCTTTCTTTCGATGTTTTGTTGTTTTTTTTTTCATTTTAATACTCATTCCAATTAGATTGAAATGGTATCTAAGTGTGGTTTTGACTTACATTTTGCTTGTGGTTAGAGATGTTTGCCAAGTTATTGTGAACTTGTTTCAATTTGACGTGTAAGACTGGGCGAAGGACCTGAAGACCTGAGATGGATGCACAGGTTAAAGATTCTGAATCAACATTACTGATCCTCACGAGAAGTCAGTCAAAACCACACTGAGATATCATCTCACTCTGGTGAGAATGAATGTTACCAACATGGGACAGCAATTTCATTGCCGTAGGGTATGTGCGTATAACCTGCAGGTCCAAGGGACAATTTGATCTGTGTAAACATAGCATCATAATGAAGTTGCAGTGTCTGGCATCTCTGTGAGCTCCAGACTTATGATTTCTCTGTGGAGAGAATATTCACAACTGACCTTTGTAGCTGTTTTGAAAATTTTGGTTTTCTGTTCTTGCCTTTTGACATAATGGCCTTCGGCTCTGTCCAGGTTTCTGGTAAGGGCATGGATTTGTTTTCTATGACTGTGTAGTGTTCCGTGGTGTGTATGTACCACATTTCCTTTCTCTGATCCACTGCTGATGGGCACCAAGGCTGATTCCATGTCTTTACCATTGTGAGTAGTACTGCCATGAACATACCATACGAGTGCATGTGTGTTTTGTATGGAAGGATTTTCCTTTGGGTAGATCCTTAGGAGTCGGATTCCAGTGCTGGTTCTCTTTTTAAGTTCTTTGAGAAATGTCATTTCCACACTGCTCTCCAGGGAGTCTGAACTAGTTTGCATTTCCCCCTACAGTGAACCTGCATTTCTTTGCTCATCTGCCCCACCAGCCTCTGTTGTTGTGGACTGTGTGTCATAATTGCCGTTCTGACCAGTGTGAGATGGTATCTCAGTATGTTTCTGATTTGCGTTTCTCTGATAATCAGTGAGATTGAGCATGTTTTCGTTCTCATTGGTTACTGGTACACCTTCCTTTAAGTGTGTGCTCATGTCACTTGCCCATTTATAAGTTGGGGTTTTTTTTCCTGATTTTATGTGTTTAAGGTCTTTATGATAAACCCTGGATATTAGACGTTTTTCAAGTGCATAGTTGGGGAATATTTTCCCTCATTCTATAGACTGTGTGTTGACTCTGTTGGTTGTTTCTTCTGCAGCAGCTCTTTTGTGTATTAGGTCCCACTTACCAGGAATTGTTTTTGTTGCCATTGCTTTTGGGGACTTGACATATAAATGCTTTGCCAAAGCCTCTGTTGAGAAGTGTGTTTGCTAGATTCTCATGCAGGTTTTTTTTATAGTTTCAGGTCTTGGATTTTTATGTATTTATTTACAGACCAACTCTCACTCTGTCATACAGCTGGAATGTATTGAGCGATCTTGTCTCACTGCACCCTCCACCTTCTGCGTTCAAGTTATTCTCCTGCCTCAGTCTCCTGTGTAGCTGGGAGTACAGGCAGGCGCCACCATGCCTGGCTAAGTTTTGCTTTTTTAGTAGACACAGGGTTTCACCACGTCAGCCAGGGTGGTCTTGAACTCCCGGACTTCAAGTCATCTGCCCACTTTGGCCTCCCATAGTGCTTGGATTCCAGGCATGAGCCACCGCGCCCAGCCCAGGATTTTGCTTTTCAATCTTTGATTCAATTTGAGCTGCTTTCTGTGCATGGTGAGACACGGGCCCAGGGTTATTTCTTCTGCATCTAGGTAGCCACTTGTGCCAACACCACTTACTGATAGGGAATCCTTTCTCCATTGCTTATTTTTGTTGACTTTTTTTCAAGTATCAGATGGTTTCAGGTGTGCAGGTTTATATCTGGGTCTTCTAATCTGTTCCACTGTTCTGTGGAAGCGGGTGCCCATCTTTTTAGTGAAAATGGCAAGCTCTTACATTGTCTATGGGTGTTTTCTTAGAGTTTTTCCTTTGTTTTAATGTTTTTTAAATACCTTTAGCAGCCAACGTGCATGGATTTCTTTTCAAAAATACGTGTGCACCTTATGTTTTCTTGCAGGAGTTTTGTGGTTTCAGAATTGAGTTTTAGGCTTTTAATGTATTTTGTATTAATTTTTGTGTTGCATGACATAAGGGTCCTATTTCAGTGTTTGTGAATATTCAGTTTGCTCAGAATCATCTATTAAACAGACTATCTTTTGCCCATTGTGTCTTTTTGGTGTTCTTTTGAAAAATGTGTTCACTATATGTAAATTGGGGTTGAGTATTTGGTTTACTCATTCTGTCCACTTTCTTAGTTTATGCCAATAAAAGATTATTTGGATAATTATAAAAGTTTGTGTTTTTCGTTCATTGTTTTAGCTTCTAAGTTTGTATTTTTTAACATAGTTTCTACATTTATTTATTTTTATTTATTTTTTTTTTTGAGAAGGAGTCTCACTCTGTCGCCCAGGCTGGAGTGCAGTGGCGCGATCTCGGCTCACTGCAAGCTCCACCTCCCGGGTTCCCGCCATTCTCCTGCCTCAGCCTCCCGAGTAGCTGGGACTACAGGTGCCCGCAACCGCGCCCGGCTAATTTTTTGTATTTTTAGTAGAGACGGGGTTTCACCGTGGTCTCGATCTCCTGACCTTGTGATCCGCCCGCCTCGGCCTCCCAAAGTGCTGGGATTGTAGGCATGAGCCACTGCACCCGGCCCAGTTTCTACATTTATTATAGACTAAAGGGTACAAAGGCAGATTAGTTACTGCCTTTGGTATGTTGCATGACACTGAGACTTGGGGTCCCAGAGACCTTATCACGCAGGGAGTAGTTGTACCCACCGGGTAGGTCTTTAGCCCATACCTTGTCCCTTCTTCCTTTTCCATCTGAGAGTCATCAGTGTCTGTTGTTTTCACTTTTACGGTAGGGTGTATTCAATGTTAGCTCCACCTTAGAAGTGAGAACATGTGGCATTTGGTGTTCTCTGTTTTCCTTATTTGTCTTTAGATAATGGCCTCCAGCTCCTTTCATGTTGCTGCCAAGGACATGATTTCCTTGTTTTTGTTGTTGTTGTTGTTGTTGTTTGTTTGTTTTTTGAATGGCTGCCTAGTTTTTTATAGTATATATGTACTACATTTTCCTCCTTTGATCCCCTGTTGATGGGTACCTAGGTTGATTTCACATGTTTGCCATTGTAAGTAGTGCTGCCAAGACCGTTTGTGTGTATGTGTGTTTTGGACAGAAGGATTTATTTTCCTTTGTGTATATATATCCCAGTGGTGGGCTTGCTGTGTCAGATGGTAGTTCTGGTGTAAGTTCCTTGAGCAATCTCCAAAGTGCTTTCCATGGTGTCTGAATTACTTTGCATTTTCACCATAAGTGGACTAGTGTCCCCCTTCTCTGCTGCCTTGCTAGTGTCCTTTCTTTTTTTTTTCTTGACTGTGTAATTGCCATTCTGACCAGCGTGAGATGATATCTGATTGTGCTTTTAATTTGTATTTCTCTGACAATTGGGTTGAGTGTGTTTTCTTATTTCTTGGTTGCTTATACATCATCTTTAGAGAAGTGTGTGTTTATATCCATTGCCTATTTATTAGCTATTTGGGGGGACAGGTGTCAGAAAGTCTGGGAAGATCCACAGTGGAAAAACTTTATCTGTATTTCATGGAGACTGATGGCCAGCTCCCTTCTGCCCAGGACTTCTGGAGGAGGCCAGCCCTACCACTTGCTTAAATACCTCCTATCTCCAGGCCTTCAGTAAATATTTCAGTGATTCATTAAATATTTAAACCTTAAGAAATTAGAGTACCCCGGTGGAACTTGAATTTAACTAGAATCTAAGTTTGAGAGTAGATGGTCAGTAGAACAAGTGAGGTAGATGGGTGACATACTATGGTTTTTAAGGGTTTTTGGGGTTTTTTTGTTGTTGTTTTCCTTAAACAGAGTTAACAATAATTAATTTGAATAAAAAAGGAAAACATTAAACGGTGGGTATGTGTAACGTGAACGCAGTTCTATGACTTCTTCAGCCATAGTCTCAATTTGACATGCTAGACTATGAATCCTAAAGACTGGTATGCGGTTACTGCATTGGAGTTACTATTCTCATTCCAACAACTGTAGAACATTTTGAATGGTGTTTTAAAATTTTATTTTAATGAAAGCTAAGAAAAAAACCCTTACTTACACACTAAAGAAAATAAACATAAAATGGTCTCTCACCTGCCTGGCAAAAGTCCCATGGCCTGATCCTGGCCAGCAGGAGCAGCTTGTGTTGAGGAGCAGGGGCCAGATGCAGCTGAGCTGCCAGCCTCCTAGATGTGGTTCCCTGGTGTCCCCGGTCTGGGTGAAGGATGGTGCAGAGCCGGTGTTCTGGCCAACATCCCGGTGGGGTCCCAGCTACTGCAGGATGTTGCCGGCCTACTGGGATTTAGGCTCCAGCTGGCAGGACAGCTTGTAGCTACAGGACAGTGAGGCAGCTATGAGGCCACCATGAGCCACACATCAGGTCCCCTCTCAGTGCATGCCCAGCTGAAATCCTGGGTCCCCAGCGGTCCCCATGCAAGAGGGTTGATGCTGGCTGTGGAGTCATGGCCATAGGCTCTCTGTAGCTGGCCACAGGAGAGCCTCCTCTAGGCCAGGTGGGGTGGCTGACACCTGTAATGTCAGTATTTTGGGAGACTGAGGTGGGTGGATTGCTTGAGGCCAGGAGTTTGAGACCAGCCTGGACAACATCATGAAACCCCATCTGTACCAGAACAACAACAGCTGAGCAACAGGACAT